GGGCACCTTTTAAAAGACTGTTACATGTTTAAAATGTACATATATAAATATATTTACCTGTTGCTGTACAGTTGTGATAGACTGGACTGAATTTATTTTTTGTGTGCTTTTTTATAAAACATTAATACACTAAAGGAAATCTTGCTGATGTGATTGTAATGTACTATGTAACTTATTTACTTAATATCCTCTATATATCTAAAAACCCTTTTATTAAATGAGGTTTAAAAATTAGTTTCATTGTAGAGTGCTTTGATGGGATGAGGGAGTTGCTGGGGGTCGGGGTGATGGTGACTGCGGTGCGCTCACGCAAAGGAGGCGACTGCTAGTCCTTTTAGCTGCTATGCTCTCTCGCCATCCCCACCTCTATTTGCCATAGCCATCCTCCAGGCTGTTTCTCAATGTGAACTTCCCCCCAAAGACACTAGCCTGCAATGTGTTTATATCTTATACCCAAGAAAATCCGGGGGGCAGGTGCAGCTCCAGCCGCTTCGCAGGAGCGGGGATGGTGTGTGCGCCCCACTCCCAGCTGAGCGCCTTCCAGAGTGCCAGCGACGGCCTCGACAGCGCCTGAGGAAATCCATGGGGAACAGGTCTGGGTCTGCTGTGCTGTAAATAAGGGCAGCTGGATTCTGACGCTGCCTGAAACAACCACGAAGGCAGCGTGGAGTAACTTAGTCCCTGAGAGCCTGGAACAAAGCTGAATTCCTAGGTGGCTGCGGCTGGGACAGAAAGTAGAGACTGAATTAAGTCCAGAGCTGCTGGTAATTAACGTTTTCCTGCTGTGTAGTAGTTGAATCTGCTGGTTGGAGAAACAGTGACTCCAGTTGTAAATCATACTGCATCATATTTTTCAATGGTAGGGTTTTAAAAAAAGGTTTAGTAAATGCTGTCTTAAAGGCATTTGTCTGTTACCTGAATCTAAGGGATTTTTTTGAACATACTTTGTTACGCAGCGCTAATCTCGTTCCTCTGGCAGTAGCTGGACCTCTTGCTATGGGTTTTAAGTATTAATATGCTTCCATCCATCCTCAAAATAAAGGTTTCCTGGGGTTGGGCAGTTACTTGGTTTTAGTGAACTAGGCTACAGAGGTGTTTCTTGCACCTACTGGCATGAAGTCTTTAAAAGCTGCAAAAATAAAGCAGATGGCAGGAACGTGCATCAGTATCTGAAATGAATGTTTGTCAGCATGAATTAACAACTGAAAAGAAAATGGGTGTGCTGCCTTAGATTTCATTTCAGTATGCTTGGCAAAGCTGGCAGGAGAAAGACTCAGCCCAAGGCATTAAAAGGCTCTTGTTTCACCTCGGAGTAGAAGCTCTTGCTTTCATGTACCTACCCTGCAGGGGGTCTGTGATCAGCAACAGCGTTGGGAGAAGTGGTAATTTGCTTGGTGGGCAAAAGAGCCAGGGAACACCCCAGCCTTTACTTCAGACAGCAGACCGTGCCTTTGCTTAAGGCTTTAGAGAGTGTATTTACCTCCCTATCAAACCAACTGGCAGACGTGCTGAAGGTTGACTATGTTGCCCTGGAACTGTGAAGCCAAGCAAACAGGCTTGGGACGATCACAACAGTCACAAGTTTGGGGCTTTTTTTTTTTTTTTTTTTTTTTTTAATTCGTGGATCCAAGCCCAAACTTCTGGAAGTTATTTCAACTACTGAAAGAGACTGTATAAAGCTTTTTAGGGATTAGTAAGCTCTGAGTTACTGGTATTGTGAGGGACTCTACAGCAATTCCCTGTATGTTTTTTAAATAGCATTGCAGCTATCGCTGCAGGACACTGTTCTTGTCATTATTGAGACTGACTGCTGTGGACTGTGGGGTAGAAAAGTTTTTCTTTATGTCTGAGTGTTGAAATTACATTTCCCTGACTCTATTGAAGCCTAAAGTTTCAGTAGTTTATTAGTCAGTTAACCTTCTCTTGTCCAGGTTTAATGGAATTGATAGTATATTGCTGTTAACAGAACTGAATTCAAAGTGAGTTAGTAATTTCGTACTGAAGAAAGACTAGCCATTTATTTGACTTGCGTGGATTTTTTCCCCATACAGCAGTAGTAGACTTTTAGGACCTAAGAACAAAGTCTGACAACCAACATCTTAAAAGATTGAAAAATATTTATGTATCAGGTGACAATAATCACAACATACCAGCATTTGTAAAGTCCCAAGTTATTTTCTATTCTAAAATAGAGGCAATAAGGAACAGCATTTACATACTCTATAAACACATTGCTCCCTGAGCAGCTAGGAAAGTTTAATGAGAACAAAATTTAATGTCTGAATGCTCTCCACAAGCTGAACTACCTCATTACACAACAGCCAAAGACGTTTGTATAAAATAACGTTATATTATTTTTAAACAAGTTTCACAGAATAACAATTACAAACATAGGCCTAAATAATTTAAACACAACAAATTCAACAGCTTGGTCATGCTACAAAATTACTGTATACAAAAGGTAGCCAAAGGGGATGTTAAAAGTGCTCTCTTGCTTGAAGACTTTTTCTAGATGAGCCTACTTCTAGTGTAACCTGAGTCATCTGCTAGTTCTCAGGTCTCTTTCTCACATTTTTCCAGCACTTCTCAACATAACCACTGCATACCTCAGCTCTTTGAAGAGAGGTCAGGGTGCTAACAAGCAGTAAAAAACCTAGCTATTTCCTATCACTATTTTTAGGATATTTCTCTAAGGAATAAAGTGGATGCTAATCCTCTGTAATTGCACTGGGAAAAGCAGAATTCCACATGGCTTGCAAGTTTTACATGGGTGCTCTTTTCATCCATGGATAACAATGTGCTTACTGCTTTATTGGATGTGGGGCGACAGGGAGGAGCAGAGGAATACAGGAGCCTTTCAGCCGCTCCCTCGGGGCATGCAGGCCGAGCTTCCCTGTTAGCTTATACATGACATGGTGTAGCACCATCACTATGCAAATCAGCTGCTTTAATTCTACTGCCTGTGTATGTCTTCCACCACATCCAGTGCATAATTTTAAAGTGCAAATTTTAAAATTTAGGAAAACTAAACTTATTTTGGAGGAGAAAAAGTTCGGGGGTGGGGGTGTGTGTGTTTGATTTGTTCTTTTTTCAGGCAAAGCAACATCAAGCTCAGCCTTCCACCCAGCTCTGAGCTGGAGCATCTCCTGACAAATGACAGCCACAGTTTATTCTTTTCTTACTGTATTGTTTCATTGAGATTAACACCCAGTTTTTATCAGAAGGGTTTTTAATTCTATGCTAATTTATCACAGCATGAAAGGTGAAAGGCAAGGGAAATCTTGTAAGTGTCCCTTACTGCTGTTACAATTGTGCTGAGACTGGACGTTCCAGTCCTTCAGTAATGATTTTTTTTGTCTTTTTTCAGTGGTATTTATAATGCATTTATAATTTATAATGCCTCTCTCCCATCGTGCCTCTTGGTCAATGGTGCCTTTATGAATGATCAAGGAGAATAATTCTACAAGAAATTGCATACGAATATAAAGTTGTCTGGAAGATAAATCCAGTGAGCTAGTTAACTAAGAAACTGCTTTCTGGTCAAGAGAACAGCTGCCTAGAAATAGTTTGTGCTAGGTGAAGGATGTCCACTGTTTTTGCCACTGTTCTCTTATTTTAAGTAAGGGATCTAAATCAAACTCAAGCCTTATCAGCAATTCCCAGTTTAAGTGGGAATGCTTAAGAATTCCTCTAACCATCATAGAATAACTAGCAATACATTGAAACTAAACTGTGATTGCCTTGTAGTCTTCTGCTTCACACTGGTCACTTAGAAACTGATTAGCAGGAGAATATCTCCTACTACAGTTACCCCTGGATCTTGAGATCAATACTACTGTTGCCTGGGCCAATTCTACCTCTCTGACCATGACTTCCAAGATTTCAACTCCTGCCACACCTTCACAAACAAAATAATTAAGAGTGGTGTTCTGCCTCCATCCCTGGTCTGGAACCAGCAGATACGCTTGTCGCCATTTTAATTTAAACAAAGTTGGTACCAAGAATTAGAAGAAAAGCTTTTAAAAGAAAAAAAGGAAAAAACAAACAAACAAATAAACAAAACCAAACCAGAAACAAGCTGCAGAAGAATCTACTCAAGTGACTTGATCTATTAAGAGAAGAAGGAAAAACCCACTATTGGCACCCAACAGGGCAATCAGGTATGTCTTCATCATTGTTTAATGATTTTTTCACTAAAATAGTTACCTGTCACATAAGGGGGCTTTACAAAACTGGTTACCCTGCGATATAGCACATTTAGAATGTCTTCAATACTTCTTTTTCCCCAACACCCACTTTCCATCTCATCTCACCTTCCCTACTATCTACATACACTTTCTCTCACTGCCTATATCTGTGCTTTCATAAAAAATGAGTATCCCCAAAACCAAATTTTCTGTCCTCAAGTCCAGGTCTTTTGTTCACTGTTTGTTTCTGTATCAACCTACTTAGTTATAAAAAAATTCTGGAGCTGGGAAGGATTATGTCCACCAGTGACCCAAACCAAAACTAAGGAACCAGCTGTAGGCTAATAAGCCACATATTCCAATACAATATAATTTCTTAGTAAGAGACAACAAAAAAAGCTAGCAGATATTTCAGCCTTACCGAAACCATGCAAAGAATTCCCATTGCCTCTTTAAAATAAATAAATGTGTAAGTTATACACTGCCTTCTAAGTAATGCAGTTGAGTTCCAATGCGAGAAGCCCAGTTCAAAACTTAAGGCCAGTAACAGGTGACCATCAGATCAATACCTTTTTTTTTTTTGTGCATAGGTCCACAACTACTGGGCCTGTCTGATGTCACAGTAAAGAGGATGAAGGCAAACTCACATATTTAAAATACTGAGGGAGTCTCATGACAAAACTAAACGCAACAAAGTCTGTAATGTGTCTCTAAACCACACCATTGTTCTTTTGGCCTCAGTGTTTCCAATGGTAACGTTGGCCAGCTGCACCTAACAAGCTAAAATGGTTCTATTATAACCCAAGAATGATCAACAAGCACCACTAATCAGGGATTAAAAATAGCTCTGTATTGGTTTAGGTAAAAGTCTCTTGCTAGCCAAACAGCAGGTAAACTCAGCTCCACTGGTCTCTACAGAAGTTGTTACAAGCTTGACAAAACTGGTGTGCCCAAATTTTGGTAACTAACTCTTTGGCTGAGAGACTGTGGAGGTAAGCTGGTCTTCTAAAAATTGCCCAAAGATTTTCTTCAAAACAAACACTTTTATATAAAAGTTCTATGTGCCAAGCTATCTGGAGTTACTTAAATAATTAAATACCCAACAAGTAAGTGTCATCAGTTTGCTCCTTCTTCATCTTCTTCTTGTTTAATAACTAGGATACCTAAGAGGAAAAAAAGAGAGGAAAAACCAAAATCTGCAAAAATTTACAAATGGATTATGCAGAGAAAGATATAGTTTATGCTGATAGACCTAAAAGCTAATCTGGACTGTTCGAAAGAGTTGGACTGGCAGAAAGGCGATCTATTAATTAAATGTATTACCTGCCACTGCTTCTAACTGACATGAACTTCTGCATACCTGAACTGCTCTTAATTAGACAAGCCTTCAACTGATGAAATCTGTGTGATGTTTTTCCAACTTCTTGGGTAATAGGGAATTAAAAAGTTACTCAAGCAGGACCTGCAAAGATCAGCCTAACTTGGTCTCTGGGTGATGCACTGTATTGGTTCAACTGCTAACAGCCAACTAGCATGTCACCCTTCTCTTGTTGGGCCCCTACTTTGTGCTGCTATTTCCATGACATACACGACCGAATGAGTGTGGGCTACCTCCTCACTGGTACCTAACCAGGATGTCTGCACTACAAAATATAATTATATTCATGTGGATCAAATATGGTCATATCTCTTCAGCATAACTTGGACACCATGGAATAAAGCTCCATTGCACAGTAGCATCATAGTCTATACCCACCCCTTGGGTACTTTAAAAAAACAAACAAACAAACAAACAAACAACTTTTCAACTGCTATGTTGAGCAAGGGCACCTCAGATTGTGAAGACTGCAGGGTTCACACCACCTCATAGTGATGTGTTCATGAATTTAGCCTTATCAAGGTCTAAGTTTTCCCCACAGTAGCAAAACCTAATAGTACAGGTAAGCTCCCAGCATGCTGAAATAGCACAATCAAATACCTGCCTATATAACTAGTACAAGAACAGCAGGGTGTAAAGGTGTATGTCCATTCACCTGCGCTGTCACCTGGGTAATGGGAACTGGGTCATACCGCTGCCTTGCTCAGCTTGATGCAGAGACTTGAACTATGGCAAGGCTTTGTGGCGAGAGCCCTTTGCTTACTGTAAGATTGGAGTGCTGTGTTTCTTTTTTCACGGGTAGGAAACAGAAAATAAAACCACCAGAGCCTGGTTTCTGGTGTGCTTTAGGCAGCTAACTACTGAGCAGGGTTCCTGGCACAGGACCTAACAGAAAGGAGACGCCTTCCGGCTGAAAGAGACCTTCAGTGCTTATTTTTGTCCAGAACGTCTTCCACCATTTCAATAATTTTGAGGTCCCTGTATTAGCCATCTCACATACAGTACATAAGCATAACAGGGTCCTGGGACAGTGTAACAGGAAGAACCTTACAGCCAGTTACAGAATTTCTGACATCTCTCCTGCTCAACGTTCTAGTTTTTGTGGTTTCCATTCTTAAGTATCATCCCCTCTTTCTCCACTGCATAGGACATATAACTGCCTAATTCAGAGCTGTCCATTGCTCCAGGAATGATTAAGGAACTAAGGGTCTAACCTTACACTAACAAGATTACTCTTTGCCCATACAGATATTTGCTTTATTCCATTTTTTGTTTCACTCTCAAAAGGTTTCCTGCTACAATGGCAAGTGGACTACTGAAGGCCATCCCTCACAGCAGTACTTCTCGCATCAGGCTTCCACTTCCTAATAATTCTTATTACTTCAGTTGATCTGGCTTCGATGGCCCGCCTGGTGCTCCCTGTAATGAAGCTGTCCTCTTGTCACCACCCCTACACTCGTACCTTCCCTGCTGCTACTCTGACCCCCAATGTTCCCAGTCCTGCTCTCCTCTTCATTGCTTTAGTAAACAGGGGATAATAGTGAACAGCTAACATCTCCATTAACAGAAACTAACATATTTAAAAATAGATTTTAAAATTATCTCACTTTTAGTCACTAATCAGGACATGCTTTAATATATTTTCCTGTCAGTGTCTTAAAAAGGAGAGGACAACTCACAAATTGAGGCTTACCGCAGTGATGAGAGGGGGCTATTCAGGCGTTTAGGAAACATCCATGAACTTTTGAAAATTTGCCTTTGCACCAGAAGGAAAACAGAGCATATCCCTGTCTATCCCCATTTTCCCATGTTGCCCTTTTTTGTTAGGAAAACTGTAAATCAGATTTGCTGGGAAAACTGTAATTCAACTTGGCAGATGGAAGGCTTGTTAACTTATTTAATGCGAAATCTTTCAGTTCCTTGTTAGTTACATGCTAAAACTATCTGACTGGATAACTTCAAGAGTAAAGCCCAACTGTAGGCTGCAAGACTACTTGGATTTAACACTCCAAAATCCATCACACACTCTCAGATGCTGCAGCCAGGATCTGAATAACCACTTCTGAGTAACTCCAAAGAGAGAAGGGAGGAACATTATTTACATGGGCACACAGATTAATGTCTGAGGTTATGATTCATTTCCCTGTGCTTCTCTTTGTATTAAGCTGTTAACTCACATCAATTGCCTCATGCCTCAAACTCACCATCCAGCTTTTTCAGCTTGGGTACCCGTTTGGTTGCTTCTTCAATCCAATTGTTCTTCTGATCAGAGGCGTATTTCTCTTGTAGTGGATTGCCTACAAACACCAGATCCTCTAGTAATGGCAGGTCTGCCAGTCTCACAAACTCTGCTGCAACCACAAAGGTGAAAACACCAACCAGATTGTGGAACATGGAAAGTACATCTGCACCACACATTCCTTTCAAACTCAGTGCAAACACAAATAGCATGGGATACAACAGGACTGGGATGGCTTGGACTTGAACTGGTATCAGGTTAAGGAACAGGTATGTAGTTTAGAAGAAGTCTGAGAAAGATAATTCAAAGAACAAACTCCATTGGGCTTACAAGTTAATTCAATGTTCTAACTACTTTTACTCTCTTGCATGAGCGGATATTTAGGGATTCTGTGCATGTCTGCAGGCTTATCAGTGAGACTTAAAGCCCTGTAACATGCAGAACTATTTTCTACTTGGTGACCTAACTCACTCATGCGTTCACCATACTACAGGAGAAGTTACAGAACAGAGAGGCATGGCTTACCCCAGTCTTTCACCAAATTATTTGACATATAAAGAACCTTCAGCTTCTGCATTACACGGATACCCTTCAGTTTCTCAATGAAGTTGTAAGAGATCCACAGCTCCTCTAAAGTATCTGCAACTGCATCCTGGAAAATGACAGGTAAGCAGAAGTGTATCTTCCTTATTCTTCAGATTCTCTCTTCAGCCCCTACAGGTCACCTCATCTGAGAAATACTAAGGTATATTGGTCCTCATTTCCTTTTAAGCAGGTCCCTAATTATGCATGACAAATACTCATGGGAATTAAGAGCCAAGGAGCTCAAATATACTTAGGAGGACAGAAATAACAATATTAGAGTAAGACAAGGAATAGCTGGCTGGAGTAGCTGTTCTTAAGGCATAGGGGCGGAGGAGACATTCAGCTGCTTGTGCACTGCAAGTACACATGAAGTGAATGCAATTCAACAACTACTTTAGAAGGGGCTGTATACAATATGAAGGAATGATTAATTTCAGGTGCATGTATGTTTGTACTTGTTGGCCAGAAGTTGCTTTCATAATTCTCTCAGAAGAGAGGGTTTTTTTAAACCAGCCATTACACACTGACTCTGTCTTTCACTCTTAAGAGATACGGCATCTCTGAAGGTGGGAATAGCTTTGAAAAGAAACATTCTGCAGGAGAAACATACAGTATCCCTTGAGGAAGAAAAGAATTTCTATATTCATTTTTGAAAAAAAAAAAAGTTGATAGAAAAAAAGTTCTTCTGCCCTTATTCAGATGTAACAAAATTGATCCAATTTTTCCCTCAACAAATTTTCCCATACCTGGTAGACTCAGTCCTGCCACCATCATCTTCTCTAAAGCCATATTGCTCCAGGTGCCAGTTAACATAAAAAGGACAGACTCTCATGGTGTGTTCACAGGACTGACAATATTTGTAGCAAAGAAGCACAGCCTAAGTATCTTCAGGCAGAAAATTCCTCATGCAAAATGCCTGTAGGAATTATTTTCATGTAAAGCCAGTGGAATTTAAAGGACTTTACAGACAGACGGCAGTTTTCAAATAAAAGTTCAGCTCATCTTTGTCAAAGACAATGAAATCTCTCTTTCTGAAATCCTTTTATGAAGTAGCCTTGAAGAATCTCCAAACATGAAGAGTGTTTAAACAAAAAACAACAAAAAAGAGGAGAGAGACTACCTGAAAATTCAGAAGCAATGTGTAAAAGAGTGAACAGATCATAGTGAAAGGAGAAAATAAATGGTTATGCAATAATGTAAATTCAGCAAAGACTTTTACAAACATAGGGGAATTATCCCACATTCTAGACGGCTACTCATTTTGTTAGCAAAGAATTTATACTAAGAAGCGCATACCAATCCATTCAAGTTCTTTATGTTATTTCTTCCCAAAGACAGAATCCTCAAATTTTCTGTAATAGATAAAAGAAAGTTTTTGGTTAATAAATGTTTTGGGGTTTTTTTAAATATAAGAAGATGCTGTAAGTCAGGTAAAATGCCATATTCTGCTTACAAACAAACTGCACTCTGAACAGGTTGTCTTAAGAAAGAATGACAACAGAAACGAAACCCCCTGACGTACCCAGATCATCAGGAATGGATGCAGTGGACAGCTCAGAAACAATATCATGAATATAAAGCTGCCCACATGTAGGTTACCCAGTTGAAATTCAGTCCAGATAAATACTCAAAAAAATTATTTCACCCTGCACCTGAACTCTAGCTGCTAACTTGCTAGTTTTGATCTTACATATTTCATACCCCTTCTTCTCCAGGAAAAAGGTGTTCCTATCTTATTTTAAGGCAGCAGATTTGATTTCTATGATAGAGGCAGCATATAAAGCTGCCTTACAGAATTCTGATGAGAGACATTTCAACTTAATTTAGCACCCAGAGAAAACTCCTTTCCAAGCAAGCTGTTGCTGCTGGGATTCAGTATAATACTAGTGTAACTCAAAGCTATCACAAAACAGCAGTCTTCTCGTAGAACTCATTTTAATTTTTCACACAAGCTTTCTTGCAGGTGTAAATAAGCCGAGTTGCAGCATGTAGCCGGGTTAACCTTGGATCTATACCTTTCATAAGTGTTTTAACACTTCTTCTTAACTGCATTAAGGATGAAATACCTAATGATCTTGTTCTGCTCTTGTATGCATAACGATTGAAAATACATGGTACAGTAATTAATGGCAAGACCAACAAAAGTTCCAGCCAAGTAGCAACAGATACTCCATAGACAGCACACGTGGTGGCTGGAGATTGCTACAGATGAAGACTCAAGGCTGATCTAGAATAGGTAGTTGTATGCTCTGTCTCAAGAAACACAGGGATGAAACCACACATGATAAAACCACACCTGGCAAATACTCTAAACCAGGAAGATTAGTTTTCATTAAAAAATTTGAGGTACAATAAGAATTCTTTTTCTTTTTAAGCGCAAAAGCTTAATACATGACCATGGTCAAAAACCAATCGTAATCAGTAAGTCTAAAGCCTATTACAGCTAATGTTCTTCAGAATATCCCTAAGGATCCCCATCCACAGGGGTGAGCGCTGGGAGATGGCCTGTTGGTCTAGCCAGCTATTCTCTCTGTAACTCCCATTTATAAAGTATAAGTTTGCACTAGCTTTTGAAATGTGCAAGAAATTAAAAGATACAAATACAAAAATTACAGGTTGCTTAAAAAGCCATGTCTTCAACTTGTTTCTAACTGCTGTTACTTTATTTCATTACTTTTGTACCGAGATATTCTATATTTTGAAGGAAGAAAGATCTCCTTCATGGAACATTTACACTCTCTAGAACACAAACCTAACAGTTGTTGCTGCCATCTAAACCATCTTCCTCACCTGTGCAGATACAGGGCTGCGATCCTTTACACAGAATTACCTACGTGACGTAATTACAATATCAGGTATATACATTAATATTTTCTGTCTGAAAAGAGTGTAGATGCTTAAAAAGATTTCTCAGCTTCCTCTCTGTGACAAGCAAAAGCAAGTATGTAATAACTAGTGGCTTGTTTTTCATAGCTATAAGCAGTAGTTTCTCTCTCTTTCACAGAAGCCAAGAGAGATGATGATTCTCTACCATCTCTGTGGTCTGAGACAGACCACATAGTTCTACTTTGTCTGGCTTGAGGAACACATAGTTGGTACAGACTGGACTTTTGATTATACATTTTATTAATATAAATATTTTTAAGAAGCTTTAAAGGCTTTAAATGTTTTCTCTCACAAAAAGATTTCATTGGTTTCACTTTTATATATAACTGCCTAATTATTTTTTGCTCATGACAGTTACTCAAACTGAAATATTACAGTATAGTTATTTGGAAAGACTGCTGGAATATTTTTTCCCTGATTTGTATTTGCAAATTTGTTGAAGTCTGAGCATATTGCAAAAACAAGTAAGTTCATCAAGCTCCTTGACAGCCCCACTGGTGTGTAGTGGGAGAGGATGGGATTCCAGGTTCCTTGTCTGTCCATCTGGCAATTTGATGGGGACAGAAAAGCCTGGAAACTCCAGCCCAAAATCTGCAGCTCTTTGCCAGCCTCATGCCACAGAGTCAAAATCTGGAGGACAGACCATTAACAATTCTGTCCCAAAGTCAGTAAGCCAATGAGTTTCAAGTTTTCATAGACAGCTGCCCAAGAAATAAAAGTTCAGTTCCACTTTCAGACAGACGGCACACCCCTTTCAAGTAGGAACAAAATCAAACCAAGTCTATCCAATCCTCTGCAAAGTGGGATGACATGTTTCCATCCGGGTCTACAATGCTCCGACCTCACTCCAACCAATACCGCAGTTACGGAGCTGTTGAACAGCAGACTATTTCCGTCATGGAGATAGGTCATTAAGTCACTCTAGAACCGATGAGGTGTTGCGGATCACAGGCAGGTCCACCGGAGGGTACAAGGGTGTTTTCTGAATGGATTTTTTCTTTTGTTAAACCTGCACAGTGAGACGACTGCCAAGGCTCGTGCAGGGACACATGCTTTAATACACCGTTACTGCTCAACAGGCATTTGCCACTAAGACTGGTAAGTTTAAAGGTCACTTGTAATTTTCTAAGAGGAAGGAATTAAAAGGGATAAGAACAGGTAGAAAGCTGGACACACGTAACAAATTATGGTATATGTCCTACCCAGGCAACTAGAAAACAAACATAATCAATCACTGGCTTGTCACTTACTTAGGCTGTTCAAGTTGGCGATTCTTTCAATACAGTTTGTAGACAGCGATAGTTTCCTTTAAAAGCAAGAATAATCAATTCACAGTATACAAGGGATCACCGTATCAGAACAGTTCCACGTCCAAACACCATTGCATTAGAAATAATTGTCTATTCTTCTCTCATTAGATGGTGAACTAACTGTATGTGTACACAGACTCAACATAATCTCAAACCATCAAGACTTCTACAACTTTATTTGGCTTCTGAGGAAGTACCATGAGTTACTTCCATGGCACACCAGATTATCTTGTTGTGCCTCGCCTTATCAAATGCATGGCCATTTATTCCTGAAATGGCTCTAATCTCTTTCTGAAAGTCCTGCTAAGTCTACTTTTTTTTTTCCCCATAAATTTCAGAATGGATCATAAATGTGCCAGCTAGCTGATAGACTCCAAATATGGACCTGTAATTATATACTGATAAACTGCATATAATTTTTCTGGGGACAAATATCAATACAGAATCTACCCCAACATCTTCTCAGGTAAGTGACAGGGATCTTTGAATTTAAAAGAGGAACTGTGTGTGTAAGGAGAAGCTCAGCTGAGAAAAAAAGAAGAGAAAGCTGCAGCTTTGAAGGCCACACTTAAACACAGTAAATACATATTTGCATAGTGAACAGCAGAAAAACTGAAAATTATTATAAAGAGAAGAGACTATTTGGTTTCCAATTTGTTTTTAACTGAACTTACTCGCAGTTAACAAGCGTGGAGAGAGATTCATCCATCCTCTCTACAGGAGGAATCTGACCGTAGAGTTTCACCTCCTTTGCCTCCGAAGCCTTCTGGCCATTTTTTTCTTCCTAAAGAAAAGAGAAGGTGAAGAAGAGGCTCACTGCTACATGCAATTACTAGACATTACTATACTAAGTGATTCAAATATACTACTAAAAGATATTACTGAAAAGAGAAAGCATTTTGAATACTCTTTATCAAGATTCCTTTGGGGTAGCACAAAGAGGGAGAGGCCAGCTTATTTTCAGGATACCAAAAGATCTTATACATTACATATGCTTTCTTTAAATGCTGTGTTATACTTGAGCAATTTAATTAAGGGGTCCTCTGCCGTAAAGAAATCGAGAATAGATGGAGGTTTAAAATTCTGAATGAAGGTACTTCCATGAAGACTGACCTACAGGAGCCTCAGCTAAGGTCAATCTGTAGCAGAAGCAGATTCTTAAAAGCTCTGACAGAAAAATCTCCTTCCCACTTCACCCAGAAAACTCAGAACTCACACCACAAACTGAACACAGGGGAGTGCGTTTCAGGGGAGAACTCAACAGATTCACAGAGTTAAGAATCTAAAAAATATAAACTTCTAATTAGCCATTAAAAAAGAGCAAGGGAAGACTTCACACTTCAGAGAATACAGCAAAAGGCAAATTTCCTGTTTACAACCTAGGTTGATAATTTGCTAGATTAAATACTTTATAAAGTTCAGAGCTTTAGAAAAATGGCCATAACTTCAGCATTTGGGTTTATTAAAATAGTCTATTAAATCTTTTAAAATTCTGAAGCGATGGTAATTATTGACTAGACACTTGAACAAGTATCTATTTAGGTAGTGCCACCAGTTTTGACAGCTGCGTCCCTGACAGCACAAAGGGAGCATTTTGTCGGTTCACTCAGTGTTCAGTGGGAGGACTGGAGGTCCATTAACAAAGCAGAAATCTACTCGGTGCTTTCAAAACAAGGACTCTTGTTTTCTCCCCGATTTTTATGCCGCTACTGAAAAGTGAGACAGCTGGGGGCTGGCCTGGTTTATATGGCTACTTTGTAATGAAATGAATTGCATCCCAGAAATCTTTTAAGAATCCCACAGCACAAGATCAGGTTTTGATAACATTATTTTCTCTCTTATGTACCCAAAATACTTCAGGCAACTTATTTTAATAAAAATTAGCGTGTTGCCTTGTGCATTTACTTATATTCCAGTTTCTGTCCAAATTCAGTGTGGTAATATTTTTACTCATCATTAGAGATTTAGCAAAGAACATGTCAGATGTTTTGCTAGAATATGGTGAATGTGTTCAACTAAGTCACTATATAAATGTGAACCTTCCATTTGCTTTTCTAAGAACAACCCTGTATCTATTTGCATTTATACTCAGTCTATAATCTATCAGTTTGTACCAACCAATAAAAATACATTTTTTTCTTGAAAACATGAAAGGGAGAGAGCTTCCAACAAAGACTATGGCCAGCAGTGAGCACTTGCAGGAGGAAAATTCATCCTGATTGCCATGCACTTCTGGCATAAAGGCCAGCTGAACAACCACAATAAGCCACAGAGAAACCATGGGCAGAACAGATGCTTTTTTAAGAATAGGTTATATGTTTGCTAAGTTAAAGTTGCTTTGATTTAACTAATGTCACCCTGACTGTAGGGCAGAGGTAAACCCTTATGCCAAAGGGAAAAGAAACATCTGGAATGCAACACACCACCAGATCCAGTTTTACAAGTCACATGGACCCAGGTTAGGAGTAGTAAAAGGAAGATTTAGACCCACCCCCAATAACATGAACAGAAAAGCAAATTCAGCACTTCATGCCTAACATTAATGGAAACTCACCGACACAGGTCTATTATCTCCGAAAGATGGCCAACAGAAGGGCAAATGGAAAATACATCTTTAATAGGAAACACGGAGTTGTGGTTTTGGGGGGGCAGAAAGAGTGAGGGAGGAAAAGCAAAAATTTTTTACTACTCAGTTCACACCTCTAGTAATGTCTGCAAGTTGTTGCATTCTAGTTCTTCTTAGGAGAGCAGGAGTGAAGTTTGTGGGATATACCAACGTAACTGAAAAAACCCTGAAATACTGAGGGTACTAAACAATGATAAAATTCAAGAAGGAAGTAGTCTTCAATTACAGACTAGTACCTTGAGCTGATGGTACAGACCTTCTGCCTTTCAACTGTACCTGCCCCCACTGCCTCACACCCAGATCTTCTAGACACCAAATAAACTCTTGCTCCAGCAGCTGGCCAGAATCAGTGTGAGAGCGCAGGTATACCGAACAGCAGACCTGTGCCCTAATCTAAAATTCACTGAGACTGGGGAAAGTTTCTCACTGGTTTTACTGGACTGTGAACCTGACCTGAGCATCCTACATCACCATTTGAAATTACATTCGCATCCTTGCCAACAAACAGCTTTCTAGAAGGCTGCAAGGCCAGGTCAGTCACCATCCCAAGTGACTGCCTGTATTAACACAGTATCTTAAGAAGAAAAACAAGCAAGAAACTCATTCTGAGTTAAGCTTTGCACAATATGAGGGACAATATGCTAAAAGACAGTAGCAGAAGTTTCACTGACTTCAGTACAGTGAGAATTTCATACTTGTTTATTCTGTGGGAAGGACTACACTCAGGTAAAATGAACAGAGCATAATCAAAACATGAGACATCCCAACTTTAAATCTCTTCGTAGCCTCAGGCCTTCTATTGATGCACA